ATCATAGGGGAGGCACTATGAGGCCATAGGTGCAGACTGGGAGAGAGAAAGTAGTGTAGCAAGAGGGGGACCATGGGCGTTTGGGCTACTTCTTCATGTAACTTGTGCCTTGAGGGGCTGCTCAAGCCCAATTTTGTATATACCACTTACATGTCATGATGGAGTGTGCTGTGTCTGCCCCCTTTATAGCTCATAGGTCAGCGAACACTCAGTGTATGATGGGTGGCCGAGGTTGCATGGTAACTTGGAGCCCTGTGGCTCAACATTCAGTCTCTTCTAAGGCTCAGTAGCAGGCCAAGAGCTATTTCTCAAAAACAGAGTAGTTACCTGTGGAGGATGGCAGGACTTTGCTCCAAAATTCTTAGAGCTTGAACTGAAATTCACTTATAGGGACCCACCAAAGTTTCCAGACAATATACCTATCTTCCACTGACAGCTGGAGCATCACTGGTCTGCTGGATCACAAGATCCAAGTGGCAGAGCCGCTTGCATGGCACCTGGACCTGTTCTAGAGCCTTCTCTTGTTCTGGGTTCCAGTCAAAAGTAGCAGCTTTTCAAGTTACTTGATAAATGTAACCTGAAAGCACACCCATATGAAGAGTGTGTTCCCTCCAAAGTTCAAAGAGGCCCATTCGGCATTGTGTCTTTTGTTGTTGTTGTTCTAGGAGGGGTCAGGTGCAACAACTTAACCTTCACTTTAGAAGTGATACCTTGACATGCTCCACGCCACTAAACCCCTAGAATTTTCACTGAGGTCGAAGGCCTCTGAATTTTTGTCAGATTTATTTCCTGTTCTCTGACACTTCCTCACTAGATCCAATCAATGATGCTATTAATGTAATGGACTGATGTGAAATCTCACAGAAGGGAAAGGCAGTCAAGGTCCCTGGAAATCACATTATGACACAGGGCTGAAGGGTTGATACCCTGAGGCAGGACAGTAAAGGTGTATTGCTGACCACCTTGCCAGCTCAAAGCTGTTTCTAGTGATCTTCATTAACAGAGATGGGGGAAAAAGAAAACATTTAGCCAAATCAGTAGTTGCTAGGGACCAAGTACTAGGGACAGTGGCTGCAATTGGAGTCACCACCTGGTTAAGCTTACGATAACCTATTGTTATTCTCCAAGATCCATTTGTCTTCTGCAGAGGCCAAATAGGCAATTTGAGTAGGAATGTGGTGGGAATCACCACACTCTTGCATCTTTCTTTCTTTTTTTTTTTAAAGATTTTATTGGGAAATTGGGAGAGGGGAACTGTGTTGGGGAATCAGAGAAGTGAAACAGACAAGTTGCTGTCCTTTTATTCTTCAGCCTAGTTGTGGAAGACGTCGCTTCACTGGCCCATGTTGGTATCATCATTGTACTCTTCCCAGGTGAGGCAGATCGGTCGCTGGCCACTGGATGGCCACTTACGGTGGCTCTTGGCAGCTCATGCTGGCTGCCGGCTGCTCACACTGACTGCCAGCCACACACGGTAGCGTATGGCAGCCCACTGCAGCTTCACTGCAGCCTAGTGGTTTCCAGCGACCCACTGCAGCCTCACTCCAGGTCAAGCTGTTGTTCACCATCTTAGCTGTAGAGGGCGCAGTGTCACTGGCCCAAATGTGAGATCCGATTTGGGGCTCTGCTCCTCAGAGCTGGCGTCCCAAGCCAACTCTTACCCAACGTGCCACTCGGCCAGCCCCTCTTTCATTTTTCAAGTCCTTAATCAGGGCACTAATCTCTGCAATTACTCCAGGAATGTGGTATAGCTTTTGGTTTACTATTTTTCAAGGCAGAGGCAGCTCTAGTGGCTTCCACTTGGCCTTTCTACCATAATGGCACTGACTCCACAAGTCAGGGAGTCAATGTGGAGATTCTGCCTGTTGTTCATGGCTATTTCAATTATGCATTCCAGATTGGGGGAAATAACTACAGGATGGGTTTGGGAACCCACTGGACCCGCTGTGAGACATATCTGACCTAAAACTTCATGGATAAACTGATCTGCATATGCCCGTAATGGGACTGGTGAGCCAAGGAATGTTTTGGGTCTACTGGAATTAGTGATAGTCCAGGCTGTGTCCAGTAATCCCTGCAATGCCTGATATTTTTCCTTTTCCCAAAAGCAGTCAACCTGACAAGAAACAATGTTCATCATCTTTTTTTTTTTTAAGATTTTTTTTTTTAATTGGGGAATTGGGGGGATGGGAACAGTGCTGGGGAATTGGGGGAAGGGGAACAGACAAGTTGCTGTCCTTTTGTTCTTCAGTCTAGTTGGGGAGGACATTGTTTCACTGGCCCATGTTGGTGTTATCATTGCACTCTTCCCAGGTGAGGCAGATCAGTCACTGGCTTCTGGACGGCCGCTCACTGCGGCTGCTGGCCGCTCACGATGGCTGCTGGCTACATACGGTAGCCCATGGCAACCCACTGCCACAGGGGCTGCAGCCCACACCGTCGCCGGCGACTCCCAGCAGCTCAGCTCCAGGTTGAGCTGTTGTTCAGCATCTTAGCTGTAGAGGGCAGTGTCACTGGCCCTCATATGTGGGATCCGAACCGGGGCCCTCTGGCGTCCCAAGCCAGTTCTTAACCATCGCTCTACTCGCCCGGCCCTTGAGCATCTTTTTATGTCTATTTGCTATCTGCACATTTTCTTTGACGATATATCTATTATTTATCTATTTAGTTAGTTTAATGATTTTATTGGGGAATTGGGGGAGGGGAACAGCTAAGTTGTCCTTCAATCTAAGTTGTGGAGGGCGCAGCAAGCTCAGCTCCAAGTCCAGTCGCGCCGCTCAGCTCAAGGTGCTGTGTTCAGTTAGTTGTGGGTGGGTGTAGCCACCATCCCATACTGAAGCCAAACCAGCAGCCTCGTTAAGAGCGCATGCTCTATCCACTGAGCCATCCAGGTGGCAGCTCAGCTCAAAGTGCCGAGTTCAGTCTTTAGTTGCAGGCAGGTGTAGCCCACCATCCCGAACAGGCAACCTTGTTAGGAGCATGTGCTCTCACCAGCTGAGCCATCCTGCCACCTGGTGGCAGTTCAGTGGCAGCTCACCTTGGGCGCAGTTCACTGGCCCATGTGGGAATTCAACCGGCAACCCTGTTGCTCAGAGCTCGCATTGTTTTTTTTTTAAAGATTTTATTGGGAAATTGAGGGAGGGGAACAGCGCTGGGGAATCTGGGGAAGGGGAACAGACAAGTTGCTGTCCTTTTGTTCTTCAGTCTAGTTGTGGAGGACGTCACTTCACTGGCCCATGTTGGTATTATCATTGCACTCTTCCCAGCTGAGGCAGATTGGTCGCCGGCCTCTGGACGGCCGCTCACGGTGGCTCTTGGCAGCTTATGCTGGCTGCCAGCCACTCACGCTGGTTGCCGGCCATACACGGTAGCTTACGGCAGCCCACTGCAGCAGGGGTTGCAGCTTATGCCGTTGCTGTCGCCAGCGACTCATGGCAGCCCAGCTCCAGGTTGAGCTGTTGTTCACCATCTTAGCTGTAGAGGGCAGTGTCACTGACCCTAATATGGAATCCGAACCAGGGCCCTGCTGCACAAAGCTGGCATCCCAAGCCAGCTCTTAACCAACGTGCCACTCGGCCGGCCCCGAGAGCTCCCATTCTTGAGCAACAGTGGCTCTTAACCAACTGAGCCACTCGGCCAGGCCCCTGCCCATTTTTAAATTGGGCTTTTTGGTCTTCTTATTGAGTTGTAATTATTTTTTAATATAATTCTTTTTTTTAACTTTATTGGGGAAAAATGTGTTTTTTCGGGGAACAATGTTTTTTTCCAGGTTCCATCAGCTCCAAGTCAAGTTGTTGTCCTTCAATCTTAGTTGTGGAGGGCACAGCTCAGCTCCAAGTCCAGTAGCTGTTTTCAGTCTAGCTGTGAAGGGCACAGCCCACCATTCCATGCGGGAATGTAACAGGCAACCTTAAGAGCAAGCACTCTAACCAGCTGAGCCATCTATCTAGCCACCCACAGGCAGCTCAGCTCAAGTCATTATCTTCAATCTAGTTGCGGAGGGCACAGCTTACTGGCCCATGTGGGGATCAAACCGGCAACCCTGTTGCTCAGAGCGCATGCTCTAACCAACTGAGCTACCCAGCTGCCCCTGTATACAATTCTTTATCAGATGTTTTGCAAATATTTTCTCCAACTCCGTGACTTAATAGTTTTAAATTTTACATCTAGATCTATGATCATTTTATTTTTTCTGTAAGCTACAAGTCTATGTGTCGGTTCTTTTTTTTCATATGTACATCCAATTGTTCCAGCACTATTTAAAGACCATTCTTTTTTAAATTGCCTTTGCTGCTTTGTCAAAGACCTGTTGACTGTATTTGTATAGGTCCATTTCTGGGCTTCCTATTGTTCAACTGATGTGTCTATTCTTTTTCAAATACTATGTTTCTTTCATTACTGTACCTTTAATAGTTAAGTCTTAAAAATGTGTAATGTGTGCCATACAAATTTGTTCTTCCTCTTTAGTACTGTGTTGGCTAGTCTCTGGACTTTCCTTTTCCATAGAAGCTTCACAATACCTATGTTGGTATCTACAAAATATCTTTCTGGGATTTTTTTAAAGAAATTTTTTATTGGGGAACAGTGTGTTTTTCCAGAACCCATCAGCTCCAAGTCAAGTAGTTGTCTTCAATCTAGTTGTGGAGGGCGCAGCTCCTTGGCACATATGGGAATCGAACTGCAACCTTGGTGTTATGAGCCCGTGCTCTAACCACCTGAGCTAACTGGCTGCCCCTTTCTAGGATTTTGATTGGGATTGTGTTGAATCTATACATCAAGTCTGGAATAACTGACTTCCTCACAATATTGAGTGTTTCAATTCATGAACTTGGATTATCTCCCCATTTAGATCTTTGATTTCACTCATTGTAGTTTTGTAGTTGTCCACATATAGATACTGCACGTATTTTCTTAGATTTTATGAATCTGTCAAATTAACACTTGTTAAGTGGAGCACAGGTTACAGGAAGTGAGCCATGGTACAAAAACAGACCACAAGGTAAATTAAAATAGAGTTTATTACTCACAGGTTCTGGAGGAAGTACCTTGCACACCTCAAGGGGCCACCATGGGAGGTAAACATAGCGTGCAGAGAGAGCGCTAGGGCTTTGGGTACATGCCTTTATTAGGGTTCATGGTGGAGTGCTTTGGGGTTCCTGGGCTAAGGCCAGGTTGGCCAATTAAAATCAAGAGAGTAGTTTTCAGGCCTCAGTAAGCCCTATGGGGATCTTACGTAAAGGGCGCACAAGGGAAAGGTGCTGGGAGGACTGAACCCATAAGACCTTCCTCTCATATAATCTCTAATAATACACAATTATGAAACTAAAGAAAAGTAATAATAAAAGCAGCCCTTGTCTAACACACTTTCAATACAAGCCACACACTGTTCTAAGGGATAGTGTGATTAGTTAATCTTCACAATGCTACTAAGAAATATGGTGCTAACATTACTAATTTATAAATGAGAAAAATTAGACATAGTTAAGTAATTTGTCCTATGAGTTTATAGTGGTGAAGGCAAATAAAGACTAAATATTGGTTAAATCCTTTCCCATTCTGATTCAGTTCAGGTTAATTTCAGAGAATGAACTTGCAAATATTAACAAGATTCAAGCAGGACAGAAAAATTCGCTGTAATTTTAACTTTCATGTAGCCTTCCTCAAGTATGAATTATCAGATGAATAATTTGTTAGCTAAAGCAAATTGGTGTCCGAAACATATGACATTACTATTATGAATCCTCCGATTTCCCTTAAGGGCTAATGACTCTGATGTTGAGAAAAGTTTGAAAGAGTAATGTCTCTAACACATTCACTGCTGTCCTGAGTCTACCCACTTTCATTACACTCACGGAGTTTTTAACTTTTCACCAACTGAACTCTGATGTCAAATGAATTCTGAAACACATAAATCCTCCCACTTAACAATTTATAAGATTTCTCATCAGTTACAAATTCCAAATAAATTCTGGCTCTTAAACTTTATAACCACAATATGAACTCTAATATTGTTATCCTCAAATGCTTTCCCACATTCCTTATAATCACAGTTCTTTTTGTTTCTATTTCATTAGTATGAATTTCAGATGACAATTAAATTCTGAGCCCTTCCCATGTCTTCATGCACTCCTCTGTACCGCATGAATTCTTTGATGTTGACTAAGGTGTGAGCCACGAATAAAGGCCTTCCCACATTGCTTACATTCATAGGGTTTCTCACCAGTGTGAATTTTCTGGTGTCGACTAAGTTCTGAGCCTCGACCAAAGGCCTTCCCACATTCTTTACACTCATAGGGTTTTTCACCACTATGGCTTCTCTCATGATAAGTAAGCTCTGACCTTCGAATAAAAGCTTTCTCACACTCCTTACATTTATGGGGTCTCTCGCCAGTGTGAATTTTTTGATGTCGAATAAGTTCTGTGCTACAAGTAAAGGCCATTCCACAATCCCTACATTTATAGGGTTTCTCACCAGTGTGAGCTCTCCGATGTCGAGTAAGTTCTGAGCCACGACGAAAGGCCTTCCCGCATTCCTTACATTTATACGGTTTCTCACCAGTGTGAACACTCTGATGCCGAATAAGATGTGAATCAGAGATAAAAGCTTTCCCACATTCCGTACATTTATGAGGTTTCTCACCAGTATGAACTCTTTGATGTAGACTCAGTTGTGAGGCACAACTATAGGCCTTCCCACATTCCTTACATTCATAGCGTCTCTCACCAGTATGAATGATTTGATGAAGACTAAGTTGGGTGTCATAACGGAAAGCTTTTCCACATTCCTTACATTTATGGGGTTTCTCACCGGTATGGATTCTCTGATGTCGAAAAAGGTGTGAGGGACGGGTGAAGGCTTTTCCACATTCTTTACATTCATAGTATTTCTCATCTGTATGAATTCTCTGATGCAAGCTGAGTTGTGAGGTAGATGGAAAGGCCTTCTCACACTCCTTACATTTATAGGGTTTCTCACCAATATGAGTTCTTTGATGTTTACTGAGTTGTGAGCTAGAATGAAAGCCTTTCCCACATTCCTTACATTTATGAGGTTTCTCACTGGTATTAATGCTCTGAGGTTTATTAGTTTCAGAGTCACAAGTAAAGGCACATTTCTTACTTTCATTTCTTTTCTTGCTTTCATGAGTTCGCTGATGCTTAATCAAGTCTGACCTACTATTAAAGACTTTCCCACATTCTCCACATTTAGAGTCTTTTTCTTTATTATGACTTCTTTCATGTTGAATATGGTGTGACTGGCACCTCGAAGCTTCTTTACATTCCTTGCAGTTACATGATTTCACTCCAGTATGAATTATCTGAGGTACTCTATGAACTGTGCACGGAATGGAAGTGGACCTTTCTTCAGAGGTTATTACAGCGGGTCTGAAATATCCATCCTGTTGTCTCTCCAAGTAGCATTTGACTACACTATTATCACTGACTCTCGAGCATTCAGTGTCAGAGATTACAGGTCCTTTTGTTATCTCCAGTTGCAATGCTTTAATTTCATAACTGTCCTTCAGAGACAAATTCTTGGTTTCTCTTCTGGACTCCCAATCTGTAAGATAACAAGAAAGAAAATAGGATGTATTTTCTTTCATGTTGTAGGAAAAAGGAAAGTTCTAAGGTAGGAAATGACAAACTAAAAATGGCAAACAAATAGCTCCTAACACTACACTGCGATTTGTTAAAAAAAAAAAAAAAAAAGAGGGGCAGGGGAAATGAGAACAGAGAAGATGAGGAGCGCTTACAAAGAAGTGGTTCTTCACCTCTAGTGAGAGTCAGAATCAGCTGGGGAACCTGTTAAAATTACGATGTCCAGGAACCACCTAAGACCAATTAAATGAGAATCTAAAGGAGTAGGACATTACATCTAACAGCAAGTCCTCTCATCTCTAGCCTCAAAACATATCCAAGATTATGACAATTTCTCTGCCAGTATCTCTACAACCCGTCCAAAGCCATCCCACACCAAGATTATTAACACAATACTGTTCTAATGGTCTCTCTACTTCTACTGTTATCCTCTAATATCCCATATATCCAACACAGTAGCCAGAGTGTTCTTATTAAGATAAGTTAGATAATACCATTCTTCTACTCAAAAATCTCCAATGGATTTCCCTCTCATGAAGAGTAGAAGTCAAAGTCCTTATGTGGTCTACAAGGCCTTCCCGGAATTTGCCCTGCACTACCCTCTTTCTGACTTCAATGCCGATCTCCTCCCTTTAGCTGACTCTGCTCCAGCTCCCTGACCAACTAGATGGTCTTCAAACTTGCTAAGCACATCCCTCCTTCAGAATGTCTGCCTGCAAGTATCTTCCCTAAATTATCAATATGGCTCATTCAATTACTTCATTCTGACCTCTCTTTAAATGCCAACTTATGAGATCACTCTTTATAATACAAGACCTCATCACACTACTTACTCTATTTTTTTTTACAGTGCACTTTCATCATTGTATCTATTTCCCCAATATTATTATGAAAGCTTTCAAACATACAGAAAAACTAAAAGAACTGGACTGTGAACCCCCACATTCTCACCACCTGGATTCTACAATAAACATGTAGCTCTACTTCCCTTACACATACCTATCCTTGCAGCCAGCCATCAAGCTATCTTGCAAACATCCAGATACTTCACTTCTAAACTTAACAGATTATATTATACTATGTGTAACTTGTTTACTTCTGTATTGTCTGTCTGCCCTTCACTGTACCTACACAGAATACATACTCAGTAAGTATGTTTGGTGAATGAATGACCGTTGGTATTTTTATTAATCTTCTTCAGTGTTCTGAGACAACTCAAAGGATGGGACTCACTGTTTAAATACAGTGCACTTCGCCTGCACTTACAATAAAATACAAAATTCCTTACCAGACCTGCAAAACTGCCTTATCTGGACCCTGTTTCCTATTCACCTTCATTTTAGGGTGCTCTCACTTTCACTCACTGTGCACCCACGATACTGGCCTCCATTTGACTCCCATATCATGCTAAATATTACAATTGCTCATCTTAGACCCTTTCAGGAAATGTTTCATCTCCCATTAATGCTCTGCTCCAGGATCTTGGCATGGCCAGCTTCTCTCATCCTAAATATCTTAATTTTCTGTCAAATACTCTGCTCTTTACCCTCATAATCTTTTTCTCAATTCTGGAATTACATATTTGTTCATCAATTTAACACTGGTCTATTAATAATTTCTCTCAAAGTAACCTAGAAATGGTATAACACTTATTTCACTCACCATATAACAAATACATGTTAAAAATCATAACAAATCACCAGCATATAGTTTAATTAATATTAAGTAAACCAATTATTAGATTAAGGGTATTCCAGTGGAAACAGAAGAAAACATACTAAAGATAATGAAATTGGGAAAGTGATTTAGGAATCAGATAATCACTTCATGCTTTTAATCATTTAACAGGTGATGGAGGTGTCAGCTCTCAACTTTAATATGCTTTCCTGACATCACTTCCCATGCACGTGGCAGGAATGCACAAGCAAGTGGTGCTTGTGTGTGTCTGTACATGTGTCTGCATAGGTCCCCTAGAATATTGACAGCTTTATACAACAATGAAAATTTTATGTAATTCTGAGAACATTCTAATGAAAACTGAGGATACTATGACAACCATTTATGAGGCTGTATGGTGTTGTGACAAAGAACACAACTTTAGGACCAAGATGCCTGCATATGAATCCCAGTCCCATGATTTGCTGGCTGCATGTCACTGGACAGTTACTTAAGTACTCAAAAATCAAAGCCTGGTCTGAGACAGGGAGATGCTTGTTCTCCAGACGCTCAGCATACGGTGTCAGAGCTTCATGCAGGCGCCCTGCTGCTGGGGCTCTTCCCTTTGCTCTTGTTATGGTCCAGCATCATTGGACTGGCCCAGAGCAGGGTGCACAAAAGGCAAACAGCTGGGAAATCTAGACAGATGGACAAGCCTGGCACAACTGGTGCGCAGAGAAGATTCTTCTGTGACTAATGCATGATCTGTATCTGGGTCTAATGGAAACGCCACTTACACTGGGGATTGCTACAAGGTTGTCCTTGGGAGAAGGCACTAAGCAAGGTCTCCATAATGACGAGTAAAATCATGTTGGTTTTTTATGTTGTATGGGAAGTTCAGACATCAGATGTCAGAGATGATGCTATTTTAACTATTTTTGAAAAACAATCTGGTAGAAAAGGAAAACTGTGCAAAAAGCATGGACTGGCATCAAAATATGTACTTAAAAGAAATGCTCAAGTCAAAAAGTAACATCCACCAAGGATGCTCTCATTGTTCCTATCCCTTACAATCACTCCTCAATGCTCAAGAACCATTCCCCTAAATCGATCTTCAGCCTCCCCACTTTCCCTACTCCGTGGTCCCACTCTAGCACAGGGCCAAATCATCTGGCCCTCCAATACAGCCTCCTGATAAATGTTACCATTCTCGCTCATGAACCCTCTGACTGAATCTCTATAGGACAGCCAGAGAGAGGTCTTAGAAATCCAATCTAATCATGTCCCTACCTTGTTTAAAACCCTTCAATGGCTGCCAAGTGTCCTCAAGAAAAGAAAGGCGTTTTATAATAAGAGCATCAGTCTCAGGAAATTATAAGTCATAAGCATATATGTACCTAATAACAGAGTCCCAAAATACATGAAGCAAAAACTGACAGAGATGAAGGGAAAAACAATCCAATGATCTACATTCAATAATGGAGAGATCAACTAGCCAGAAGATCAACAAAGAAAGAGAAAACAATATACTCTCTTAAATAAATAATGGGTCAAAGAAAAAAAATCACAAGAAAATTGGAAAATAAAACTAAGTTGGATAAAAGGAAAACTCAACATACCAAAACTTATGGAAATGCAGTTAAAACAGATCTTAAAGGGAAATTAACAGCTTAAAATGCCTATATTAAAAAAATATGAAGATCTCTAATCAATAAACTAATTATTTACCTTAAGGAACTAGATACAGAAGAGCAAACTAAAACCAAAGATATGAGAAGGAAGGAAATATAGATTAGAGGGGAGATGAACAACATAGACAAAAAAAAAAAAAAGAGAAAATCAACATAGCTGTAATTGTGTTCTTTGAAAAGCTCAACAAAACTGATAAACCTTTAGCTAGACTGACCAAGAAAAAAAGAGAGAAGACTCATACTAATATCAGGAATGAAAGAGGAGATACTACTACCAACTTTACAGAAACAAAAAAGATTATAAGCAGATTAGTGGTTACCCAGGGGTACGTGTGGGTAGTGTCTACTAACCTGTATGGGATTTAATTTGGGGTGATGAAAATATTCTAAAGTTAGACTGTTGTTGCGGTTGCAAAACTCATTTGTGAATATACTAAAAACCAACGAACTATATACTTTAAGTAAGTGAATTTTCCAATAAGTGAATTATATCTCAATAGAGCTGTTTTAAAAAGTCAGGACAAAACTGGACCCTCAGTTCAGAGGAAATGGCTGTCTCTGCAAAAGAGAAAGGCACTTCCTTTGTGAAATCAGAGGGAAATATGAGCAAGGTTTGCAAGAGAGTGGTAAGTGGGGTAAAAATTTGAGGCCTCATGCTGAAACATCCTTATTTTCTTTTGCAGATCTCAGGCCTTTTCAGGGAGCTTTTCTACCAACATCTCAGAAGCGCTGCCTTCTCACAAGCTAGCTAGGTAACCACCTGCCATGGCCTATCCCCTACAAGTCCCCATCACTCACCTGGGCACCATTCTTTTGTCTCCTTCCTTTCAACCATCCAGGGCTCCTTCCCTTGCTCCAATAAGGAGATCACATCTGGCTTAGAATCATAAAGTCCTGCTCAATAAAAAAAAAAAAGGGATGAAGTTATATTGTGGATGTTGCTGAATTAAAATCAGTCCATGATTATCAACAAAGAGCAGTAAGTAGATTAAGGGTCAGCAGAAGGGGTGAAGGTCAAAGGATTGAAAAAGATAAAGTTGTACAATGGGGCAGCCAATTTCTAACTTCACCAGAAACTAACCATTCTTTGATAAGCAAGAAGAATTACTTCAGCCAGGCTCTTGAAAAAGCACTCACAAGAAATTGATAACAAAGAACATAAAAAGTCCAGGTCAATTCTGAATTTTGAGGGGCAGATAAACTTACCCAGTGAAATCAGGTTGTTGTAATTCTCCAACATTATATTTCGGTACAAATCCTTCTGAGCAGAATGCAAGCATTCCCACTCCTTCTGAGAGAAATAAATGGCCACATCTTTGAACTTCAAGCCCTGAAACCACAGAGAAATACA